CTGTGCTTGAAGATAGTTGGCTCCTGCTTCTAGGCATGGAACACATGCCCGAAAGCTCAAAGTTTAAACCCGACATCCCACGACCTTGTTTTCGCTTCGGTAAAACCACAAAAAAGCACCGACGAAAGAAAGACCCGAATACTGCACCGTAGAGGTGCGCAAGGCTCCCTCCCACATGAACTGATAAAGCAGAAACCATCGTTCTACCTCAGTAAAACTGCCATTTTGCCCTAATGCCCCCCAGCGACTACAAAGGCATGGCAACACGAAGCCCACAAACCCAAACCTCGACCGAAATCCAAAAAGACCATTTTATCCGGAAATCTGTCAAGACATGCTGCCGGACGACCAAGCCTTCAAACGCAAAACCTTGTTTTCGCCTTGGCAAGACCACCAAAACACTATAGTCCCATAGTTCCCAAGATAAAACAATGACGAAAGCAAGACCCGAAAACATTCCAAGTTGCGCAAGCATGTCTCCCAAAACAAGACCTAATAATCCAGAAATCATCGTTTTTACCTCGGCAAAACTGCCACTTTGCCTTAAAAAGCACCCCTGCTATCGCGCGCGTCTTTTCATGTGGCGTTACGTTGTTTATAGGTCGAGGTTCTGGATTAGGAGTTTGGCCAACTGACTCTCCCCGAAAAGGTCTTGCAAGGGCAAAGGGAAGACTCACCAGGAAAACGCCCGAACCCCGAAATCTGAAAAAACATGAAACGAGGGACTCTACCGCGACGAAACAGGGCGACCCCGGATGCCAGCGCCGCAATCAACGAATCAAGCCGGGTACGGTAGAGCCAAACCTCAAGCTACGGCCTAAACCCTGAACCCCTCGGATGTATGAAATTGCCTCTTCGGGTCGCTCTTATGCTGCTCGAAATCGACGATTTTTGATGGATGGGAACTAAACGATGCCCCCCAACTCTAGGGCTTGGGTTTAGGCTTTAGGGCTTTAGGGCTTCGGGTTTAGGGCTTCGGGTTTAGGGTTCAGGGCTTCGGGTTTAGGGTTTCGGGTTTCGGGTTTAGGGTTTCGGGCTTAGGGCCTTAAGAGCTACAGGCTTGGATCGCCAGAAAATTGGATGGAGCGGACCAGGATCTGGGGAGGGTCGGGCCTCAGGGTATTGAGGGGACTTGGAGCTTTGGTGGTTTAGGAACCGAGGGGTGTTGGGATCTTGCAACTCTTAATTCTGGCTTGGATGTGTGGATAATGGGCAGTAAAAGACGGCAAAGCCCCCTAAACCCTAAACCCTAAAACGAGGGAATCCTCTAAACCCTAAATTAACAAGAAATCCACTGCGCCACTTGGCGATCTCTCTTCGGCCCACCGGCTCACCGACAGCTAAACGGTAATCTAAAGTCCTTGAAGACTCAATTAAAGATTAGGTTTAGGGTTTAGGGTTTAGGGTTTAGGGTTTAGGGTTTATGGGTTTAGGGTTTATGGTTTAGCGGTTTAGGGTTTAGGGTTTGGCCTTAGAGGACTAGAAAAGGCTTGGGTGCAGATTATAGCATCAATGTATGAAGGAACCCTCAGGAATACTTTTGGGAATTATGTCGGTCAAAAAAAGGCCTCGCGCGAGTTGAAAACGTTGGGACTTCGCAGTTTCGGGTTTCAGCTTGCCGTCTTTACGGTTTAAGGGCTGCCAGGATTGTGGATGAAGCTCTCAACTTCGATGCCTACAGGGAGCAGTCCGTGATCCCAAACCCCCTTCGCATCAAGCTGTATAGAGCACAAAGACAGGCCAGCTACTTGAGTGGACTGGCCAAAACTCCCACAGGGTCCAAGTGCTTCAACATGTAGGATGCAGCTCAAACACTAAACTCCGAACCCTGAGCCCAAAACCCCAAAACCCTAGACCCGGAAACCCAAACCGGAAACCCTTGCAGAAACTTTGTAGTACCCCTTAGAATCGTATATGAGGCTTCATGGTTTCGCACTTGCCATGAAACCCTAAGCCCTGATCTCTGAATCGACTCCCTTCGCCAGCTGCAGGCCTCAATATCCGACCCTGGCACATGTCATCGTCTTCAACAGAGGTGTGAATCATCAGGAAGTCTTTTTTTTCAATTAACCTATCTATAAAGAAAGTCACACGATCATACACCCTAACCACCTCCCGCAAACCTCGTTCCGATTGTCAAGGCACCCGGATTGAAACCTGTAAAACCCTGTAGAAACCCCATCAAGATAGGGGTCTCAAATAGGGGTGCTTTGAGGGGTCATTGTGTAGGGCTCTCGTGGTTCTACGTTCGCGTTTTCCAGATAGCGCTCGGCTTGAGTACTTGAAGTTCAGGGTTTCGGAGTCTGGCATTTTGAGCTTAAGACACCCTGAGCCCGGAACTAGAGTCGGCCAAGACCCTTGAAGCCCTCTTAGCCGCACAAGCCCTCTACCAGAGTCCCTATTCTTCTGAGAAATCTATAAATCCTCTTTAATAAATAAAGACTCGAAACGAACTCGACCAAATTCCTTGTACCCTAAACCCTAAACCGCGGCAACCTTGGAACCTCGGACCCGATGGGACAGTTCTGTATGCAACTTAAACGCTTGGCTCCTCAAAAGTCTCATGTTGAGCAGGCCAAGCTTCTTCTTCGGGGTCTTTAAATCAACCTGAGGCTTTAAGGTGCTAACTACTCCAAAAACCCTGAATCCTGTAAACCACAATGACAATAAAACCCCTATAAACCCTAAGTTCTGACCCCTAAAGACTTTACAGATCCCGACCTGCTCAAGCTTTCGCTGCGCCGATCTGCTCCCCTTGCGGACCCGTAACATCGACCTCTGGGGGCAGGATCTCCTTCCCATGCTGGATCCAGAGATTCCTTGGAGGAGGTTGGGGTTTAGGGTTTAGGGTTTAGGGTTTACGGTTTAGGGTGGTCCTTGGAGGAGGTTGGTACTGAAATTGGCGTCCCTCCTTCGGGTCGGTCTTTACATGGGTGGTTCTTTAACTTAGGGTCCCTTTTGGGGATCCTTTATATAAGGGTGCCGTACTAGATCGGGGAACTAAAAAAGGGACCCTAATTTAGAGAACTGCCCATATGTCTGAAATATTTCGGTTGCTCACTCAGGTACGTAGCGTCTCCCTTCTGTCTGTGACAACCTCTGCAGCTTCTCTGCCACCTGATTGGACATCGCGTAACCCGTAACTCCGACATCTTGCATGCCATTGACATGTATAAGTACGACACACACACACACGAAAGCCGCAATTACCAGGCTCATGCTTTTGGTTGGAGAGTTAGGGGCTAGACTTTAAGGTGCAGCACTGGAGCCCATGCTATGCCGCTACACACCTGAAGTGTTGGACCTACACCTGTCTGTTCCTAACCCTGGCGCCTATATAGGGGAGATAATTCTCTGGTGGCTCAACTCTTGAAGCGCATGATGTTGCTGCCCGGCATCACGCAGCACCATCCCATATAGAACAGGATGATGGCATGGATGAACTGAACAATCGGTTTGATGATGCAGATCGCACATTCGCCGATGCCCTCAGCAGGAATGCAGCAAACCTAACTAATTACCATTGAAATCATGGCGGCAATTACCCCGAAAGCAGGCTAAAGAAACGGCCTTCCCAAATGTCCAATCTGGCAGGACACCTGCATCTAACGTAGTAGCATGTATAAAATAAGCCAGCGAATCACAAACATCCGCTTTGTCTCGTTCTGAAGTCAAAACCTCGACACTCCGACCTCTAATAGCAAGACCCCAAGACCCACCAGACATGGCATCATAAGGTCGATGGCTCGATTCTGCACAGCAGGATCATGTGAACACGACCAAAGACAGGACAAACTTTAGTCAGCAAACACATCATGTGAGTCACGATGGAGATAGTCGCCAGAATTGTAGTGGTTGCAATACCGAAAATGTTGGCCTGCATTTGAGTTGCTGCTGTTGCTGCTCCTGCTGCTATTTCGTACCACTACTGCTGCTGCTGCTGCTTTTACTGCTACTTCTACTGCTGCTGCTACTCCTCCTACTACGGCTACGGCTACGGCTCCCCCTATGGCTACTGGTACTGCTACTGCTATTGCTACTGCTACTGCTACTGCTACTAATACTACTACTGCTGCTACTACTACTACTACTACTGCTACTACTACCACGACTACTACCACCACTACGGCTGCGACGGCTGCCTTTACTACTTCGATAGCAGACTACTGCAACCACCACCTCTTCTGTTTGCCACCTGCAGTTCACAGCAGATGGCTGCTTTGGCAGCTGCACGAGTGAGTGTAGGCGATACAGAGGCATCTTGTGCCATGGTTCATCGGTTTTGGCTGTGGTGAATGGTTCTACATGGCTCCATATTGGTCCAATGTTGTGCGAATATGGTTAAGCTTACTCCAGCTGGGCACAGGCGTGGCAGAAACTTTGTGATAGCGCCATGCAATCGGTGGAACCGTTGGCACCTGGGCCTGCCGCGTGCTCAGAGATGCCAAGTAAAGACTGAAGAGTGGTCGCGTCGCGGGCTTGAGGCCTCGAGAATGGAGGTCGGTTTGTGCGCAGTCCACTGTTCTTATGATTTCTTCAAGTGATTTCTTCAAGATGTCTTTGGCAAGTGAGGGGAAGCTATGTTAACCAGGTACAGAGTGTAAGGGGTTTTGACTTCACTTGTACTAGACATGCCCGCAGAAGGCGAAGGGGGGCAGACTAGGGACATGCTTTCACTATCTTCCAACCTATCATTAGAGATCGCAGCTTTCAATCTAGTGCACCCTATGCACATCTTTTCGCCAAACTAATGAGGGGTGTCAATATCACAGCCTCAGGTTCTGGATTATGTTGCCCTTCCAGTAGCCCCTCTCAAGAGCCCAGGTTCCTTTCTACATATTTGGTGATGTTTGGTCTCCGTGGCCCCTTGCTGCCCTTGTACACCCTGGTTGGCGAGAGGCATTTCGATTCATTGATTCGCTGGGACTCCAGACAGCATGGTGATTTCAGCGCTGTACATCTTGCAGCAAAATGGCTAGAGAAGTGGCTCTTCAGTTGCCGCTGCAGGCGAATAAGATGATGAACCATCTGCCTGCTTGACCAACTTGTTGCCACATGTGCCGGCCAAGGCGGAACACCGCCCGATGGCTACGTCCAGAAAGCAGAGTAGCTCGGCAGTTTTTCTCTAGCAGAGTATGTGACAGTTCTGACGACGCTAGACAACGATGGCGACGATGCCATGACAGCGACAGGTGCGGCTGTTGGCACGTGGCATAACTCAACATAAGAAAATGCCCAATACATTCAGTACATCAGAATATCGAGCCCGGCGGCTCCAGAATGCCTGTCGTATCGGATAGTTAGTACATTCTGCAGCATCGAGCACCTGCCGTTGCGAGCAATCCCTGCACAACAAGTCGGAGCACTGCAAGTTTTTTTGCTCAACAACCTTCTAGATCGCAGCTACCAGTGCGCACCACCTTCACGAACTTGTCATGTCGACGAACTTTCTGACAATGCAGCCGAAACTGCCTTTGGCGCTGCTGCTGCAGCTGTCAGTGTTAGCGGAATCAGTCACAACTGCCGGATCGGCGTTGCAGTGTTGTTGCATGCAACTTCGAGGTTTGAGACTGCCTATGGCTTGGCCAGCATATACCTTTCAATGTTCGCATGGTGTGAGCTCCTCCGCAAGCAGTACGCAAACGTGGATGAAGCCTGGAATGCGTGCTTTGCCGGCACTCTGTGTTTTGTTGTCAGCAGCAGCTCATGGTAGTCTATGCAAGCAATGTGTGGGCTCCTCGCTGGTTAAGCGGTTATGTGATGGCCAAGTGCTAGTGCTGCTTGTGGCCGGCATATGCATCGGAGCAGTAATTCTCACGTTCCTCCCCGTTACTCGCGGCCGATTTCGAAGCACCACTGTAGGCAGTTTCACGGACCTTTTGGGTTTGCTGCATGCCCGATTCGGTTTCTGGATCGCTTGGCCCTTGTTCCTGTCATCCGTCATGCCCCCGCAGTCGGTTCACGATCTGTGCCAGCTGAGGTTGAGTGGCGCGGAGTTTGGCTTTGCTGCTCCTGTAGATTACACCAGGTGGAAGACGTCGTTTTGGTCAAGCTATCGCCCAGAGGCAGGCATGAACAAGGCATCGCCAGACGAGGCCTTTGTGTATGCAGATGCGAACGGCGACGAAAAGGTTTCGAAGCAAGAGTTTTCCTCCATCTTCTTCAGCTGTGCACCAGAGAATGCGAAGCAGCCACCAGGTGGCGCAGCAGCTCATGCACAGAAGGTTGAGACAGCTTCTGCTCCACCGGGTGGCGAAGACGCGCCCGCGGCAGCAGAAGTTCCAAAGCCGAAAGCAAGCTCTGCAAGATGCCTGTACAGCGACACTGAATATGTAGGTGGCAGTGTCGGTCTGGCTTCGGCTCAGCCGAATCTCACATTCTGCCAGGCTCGTTGCCGAACGACACCGGGATGTGCTTTCTTCACTTTCAGTCATGCGGATGGCAACTGCCGGATGCTGGACATCGAAGCAAGTTGGAGGGAATCCGCGGGTCTCATTTCTGGCCCTGTAAAATGTGTGGCCCAAGTGCAGTTGAAACTTGAAGATGTCGGCGAGACTTCCGGCTTGGAGGGCAAGACGGATTTGCTGCAATTGGAGATAGCGGCTGAGTTTGCCAAATATGCACGGATACCTGATCACGATATCCGTGACATGCGCGGCAATGCGGGCAAGGTCTCCCTTTCCTTTAGCTCGCAAGGCGGAGGGGAGATCCTGGTCCACTGCTTTATGGATGTACCACCTGGTGGTGAGCTTCACGACATAGAGCGGGTTGCCCATGAGAGCCAAGCGCAGCGCAAGTTGCTAAAGGCACTCAGATCCGACACAGGACCAGGTGCAGAGATGCAAGTTGCGGTTGCGGTGGTGCCAGGTTCGCAATGCTTCATTCTCGGGACGCGGTATACGCCAGATTTGAATGCTGAGCATGCTGCGGTCGAAACAGCCACAGCTTGTCAGGTAAAGTGTACCGAAACAGAGGGCTGCCGTTTCTTTTCCTATCTGACCACGACCAAGATCTGCAGTCTCCAGGGAAAGTCTGCAACAGCTTTCTTTGTTGAGGATTCCCTTGCAGGGCCACAGCTGTGTCACAATCTCCCTCACGAGTCGGAGCCGTCGAAGGCCGAGCTCGAAACGGATCATGGTACAATCTTTGCGAGCCTTTGGTTCTGGCTGATCTTGTTACTGGTCGTGCTTCTATGTGTGGCCATGTGTGTTGCTTTCCGCCGTGGTCGCCTATGTCCCAAGACCTGGAAGCGCCAGCTGTCTCGCTCGCGAAAAACCGAGGAAGCAAAACTTAGCCAACACAGATACATGGCACTGCCACCAACCGACCAGGAGCTTGAGCAGAACATGCTATCTCAGGCGGCATCAAATGAGTCACAAGGATCTGCACTCCGACCTTTACACCCAGTTGACTTTGGTGCAAAACTTTCCGGCTACAACGGTAGCTACAACGGAAGGTGGCCATCCCAAGCAAACGGAAGCCCGTGGAGCTGGCAGGTCGAGCGCTTGTCCACAGCTCCGAGGGAGACTCCAGACTTTGCCGGAAGCCCAGGCCGCTACATGGCGCAAAGTGCCTGGGGTCCGAGTGGCCAGAGCTCTCCATCTTCCCTTCAGCTGTCGCCCAGAGCTTCCGCGATGCAGGAGGATTCCCCTGAATGGATGCCACACTTCTTGGGTGCAGAAGCAGTCAGGGAGGCATATCAACATTATGATGCCTCGCAGCGACATGCGAACCCTCCCGAGCGTTCTTCTTGGCCTACCCCACAGGTGCCACAGAGGTGCCTTGGACTACATTTTGCATTACCGTCCAAACTACCTCTTCAACCCAATGGTCCAGAAGCGGTGGTGCACACCTAACATCATTGCGCAGTCAACCTGCGTTCGTCCTGCAGGGACACAAACAATAAGTTAGATGGTCAAGTCTCATGGCTGAAATGCAATATACGAAACTTGAGGGAAAGAGTACGAAGGGAAGAAAGATGAAGAAAGATTGCTCGTGGGCTCCTGATGTGCGCACCTACTCCAACGAGTACCACAGCTTGCCTGCTCTCGCCGGCGCGCACACGCATGCAGACATGCACCCTCGGTGAATAAACCAGTAGCGCACAGAGAGAGAGAGAGAGAGAGAGAGGGAAACTCCCTCACCCATAGCCCTGTCGAAAGAAAGAGAGAGAGAGAGAGAGAGAGCGATATATGCTCGTTACTCACCCCCTACACCTGCAAAATAATTGCGCGCCCGGGGGTCCTGACTGACCCCCATGCCCGGGAGAGAGAGAGAGAGAATTGTGCTATCAGACGAGGCCGGGGGACTTTAGGAATAGTTTGGTTTCAGAGTTGCAGTCCGGAGGCCCTCATCTGATGTAGAAGTCTTACCTGAGACTGAGACTGCCAGGGCGCGTACGCGCGCGAGGGGGGGCTTCCAGCTTTCCCTTTGTCTGTGTTGAAAAAGAGAATTGTGGCTTTTCTAAAACGAGGCAGGTGCGAGACAGGCAGGACAGGGACTTAACATGAGATGCAGGCCGAGACCGATAGCATTCTGGTGTAAGTGTTCGGAGGGTGCCCGAAGCGGCTAAGGGGCCTTGGCCTCGTGCGTCTGAATCGTGCAGTGGTGCTCAGGGCATGTTGACTCTGCAAGAAGTAGGACTACTGCGTCAGGCTTCCGCCGCCAGTGTCTGCTGAATTTCCACACGCTTCCAGCATGCCGTGCCCTCCGCACTTTCAGCCGAACCAAGCCGGTTTTGGCAGTCACTTGGTGCTTTAGTATAGTTATAACACCACTTACACAGCCGAGAGTCAGCCGTGCTAGTTCTCGGTCAAGATAGAAGATTCCAAGAATGTGGGCTCAGGTCCGGTTGGCTTTAACCAATCATGGAGGGCCTGATGCCGATCATTCGAATTCGTTTTGCAATCCGCCACGTGTCCGCCATGTGGAGTGCCAGTGTCTTTACACCGGCACGCCGGCAGAACAGCGGCCCTGCCACTCGAGTGTTACTCTTCAAGACTCTTCTCGCGGCATATACTGCAACAGTACTGTAACTCTCTCGTCTTTGCAGCAGCCACGCCAACAACCGCCGCTGGCAGGCACTGGAACAGCCAGAGCCCAACAGACGGCGCAAAGAGCCAACCGGCCAATGCAGGGACCTATTTTGTCGGTGCATACTTTTGCGCTGAGTAATTAGTGCACCAAGGCACCTCAAGTGACCAAACATGACCAGACCATGTTGTCTCAAAGCAGGTGGCTGCAGTGTAGCATAGTATCTGCCCCGACTGGCGCGAGCTCGTTCAGTTGTTTCAACAGGGGAGGACCAAACATAGTTCGGTGTCGATTACATCTCATTCTCAAGGTGAAGCGTGTATTTGCCTGGGCAGCGGTCGAGTCCGTTGCCAACAAAGTTACAAGGGTTCGTGTACATGGAGTTGCTGCAGACGTTGCTGCTCAATCCGAAGCCTCTCGGATGAAACGGCGCCGTCCGCAGCTCGGCATGCCTGTCAGCTCTGGTGCCGTTTGCCTGCGCATTGGGCGCCGAGTACTGGCTTCAGGATGTCGCACCTCCCCGCGTGCGTCCGCGGTGACTGCTGATGGCTAAGCACGAGCGGATACTAGCGGCGAAAGTTGATGCAGCTGTTTCGGGGTGTTGGGCACCTTCCAGTGCGATTTTGCTACTTTTGCGAGTCCATGTCCCTGTAAGAGCATGTTTAGGGTTACCCGCATCATGACACCGCAACGCCGCCTTCTTTCGTCTTTCTTTTCACTGATGCAGACTGTGGCAAGGTTAGCAGTGTGCCCACTTGTGCAAATGGCACCTGGCATGGCGGGAGCTGCTCGGCAAACTTGACTTTCAACGTCTTCCGCTGACCATCTACCTGTACAGCTGAGACATGTAGCACAGGTTGTCGTCTGCGGTTTCAGCACTCTCGAACGACATCATCCTGCAACAGCCCCTGTTCCTACCCACGCCTGAGGCCACCGCTCTCGCGGTGGCAAGAGCCCCTCTCGAGCCCTCTGTACTGCGACCTTAGAAGATTTTGTGCTTCATAGATATCCCTCAACCTCCAAGCCGACTTGGCTGGAAGGCTTTCCGGGAGCGGGTTTTGAAACGACAAGATGATTCGTCATGTTCCAGGGAGTCGAAGTTCGATAGGGAGCTACTTCAATCACAGACTAGGAACGCACTTGTGCATGGCCGAGTCCTGGAAGTCAGGTTCGAAGTAAGCAGCCCATGGCCGGCCCAGTCGCTGCGCCACGAGGAAGGCTCACAACACGTTCTCCACGTCTTGTGCACTACCCTGCATTGTCTAGCGCGTGCCTTTTCCAGAGCGCAATCATACGTCGTGGCTGCAGCCTCTTGAGGCCGTGCCAGCTCGTCAAAGCCCACCAAGCTGCCAGCTTCGTTCCTACTGATTCAAACAGATTCCGCTTCTTTGAGCTGCTACAGGATAAGCTGGGGTAGACACCGCAAGCACTGCATCTGTTGCACCAGGTGGAAGCAGCACTGTGGCGGCCTCGTGTAACTTCGAGGTCTATGGCACCCGTTCTCACACACATCCTGGTATGTTTGTTGGTGAGGGGAGTCGACTTCAGCAAGAGCGTTCAACTAGACATGGCAAAGGGCAAGCTTGATGGAGTCAACTAATCAGAAGATTGAGAAGCTGAGAAGCACGGCACTGGAAGCTGATGGCCTGACAACATGACGATCTCGATCAAACAGAGAGGTATGGGGTCGAGCAGAGTCAGAGTCGCTGCTGGCCAGTTGCAAAGTTTGTGGAACTGTGGAACTGCACCGGAGGAGGGGAGGGGAAGTGACGTGGGGGCATCGGCGCAGGGGCAGGTGTGCAGGGGGCCGCAGTGTCAAGGGTTGAGGGCTGGGATGGAATGGCGTGGGAGTTTGGGGTCTGGGTCTGGTCTCGAATGCAGGGATCTGGAGCCGTTTCATTCACGTCCAATCGTCATGCGTGCTGGCATCCACCAAGACAGTGCTTCAATAAAGGGATCTGGAGCCTGAGTTTGGGGTGAGGCTCTGTGATTTCCGCTTCTAAGGCCACACCAATACGTGCAGCACCTCCGCCATGGGCAACCCACGGACCGGAGGCCTGAAATGACAGCTTGACAGCTGACAGCAGCGGTTGAAGCTGGTGTAGTTGGTGCGATGGACGACCTGTTGTCTCAGCACAAAGTGTACCATTTGTTGACCACGAAGCAGCAAGCTTGTTTTTTTTTTTAAGCACAACATGGGAGACTTACGCACAGAGCGTGATTCAATCCGGATCAGCGGGCTCACCGCAGTGGCGATGGTCAGCCGGCCACTGGAACATCTTGAAAAATCGTCTGTGCAAAGTGGTTCCCGGCTCACATGCTTCGGAGTACCGCATGCCTTGGTTATGACATCATACAAGGCATGATAGGCAGTGGATCAAGGCATTGCAACATACCGACTTGTAATTCCCAACAGCACATACTGT